CCGGAGAGTTTTGGGGTGTCTTAGCTCTAAGTCCTCCACCGCCCAATGGGGGACTTTAGTAGGTTTTAANGCTCGACGTGAGTAATAAGCTTTGCTTTGATGGCTCTATGTTTTATCGGCCCACTTCAAGCAACGAACACCCCCCCTCCCTCCACCGTCCGATTCATGTTAGATCTCAAACCGGAGAGTTTTGGGGTGTCTTAGCTCTAAGTCCTCCACCGCCCAATGGGGGACTTTAGTATTTATTTTAATGCCGTACCAATAGGCATTAACCTTAGGTAAGCTTGTGCTTACTTTGGACTGTACCCTCCCCATCCTCTGGGTGAGGTAGAGAGGGGGGGAGGGCGTATGGCCTCAATTTTTCCAGGGGAGGTTCGGGTACTGGGTGGGGGTCGGTTCTATGTGTACTGCATCCTCGAATTGTCCCCTCACTATAGCTACTGTGGATTCTCAGTATACAGCTACCCTCACTCAACGCGTCTATGTGTCCGGCAATCTCTAATGCAAATCACCCTGTGAGGTTTCAGTATGTGTCTTTCCTCACTCAAAGTGTCGANTCGAATTGTCCCCTCACTATAGCTACTGTGGATTCTCAGTATACAGCTACCCTCACTCAACGCGTCTATGTGTCCGGCAATCTCTAATGCAAATCACCCTGTGAGGTTTCAGTATGTGTCTTTCCTCACTCAAAGTGTCGACGTGTCCGGCACTATCCAACATCACTCAACTCGTGAGGTTTCAGTATGTAGCTATCCCCACGCAGCGAGTCTATGTGTCTGGCAAACTCAAAAACCAATCCATCTGTGAGGTTTCGGTTTGCAGCTATCCTCACTCCACACGTCTAGGTATCCGGCGATCTCCAATACAAATCACCCGAGGTGAGGATTCAGTATGTGTCTTTCCGCACTCAAAGCGGATACGTGTCCGGCACTTTCCAACATCACTCAACTAATGAGGTTTCAGTATGTAGCTATCCCCACGCAGCGCGTCTATGTGTCTGGCAAACTCCAATACAAATCACCTGTTAGGTTTCAGCATGTGCCTTTCACCACTCAATGCGTCTATGTGTCCGGTACTATCCAACATCACTCAACTCGTGAGGTTTCAGTATGTAGCTATCCCCACGCAGCGCGTCTATGTGTCTGGCAAACTCCAATACAAATCACCTGTTAGGTTTCAGCATGTGCCTTTCACCACTCAATGCGTCTATGTGTCCGGTACTATCCAACATCACTCAACTCGTGGGGTTTCAGTTTGTAGCTATCCCCACTCAAGACGTCTATGTGTCTGGCAAACTCAAAAACCAATACATTTGCGAGGTTTCAGTATGTAGCTATCTTCACTCAACATGTCTATGTGTCCGGCAATCTCCTATACAAATCAACCTGTGAGATTTCAGAATGTGTCTTTCTTCACTCAAAGCGTCTATGTGGCTGGCAAACTCAAAAACCCAACCATCTGCGAGGATTCAGTATGCAGCTATCCCCACTCAACGCGTCTATATGTCTGGCAAACTCAAAAACCCAACCATCTGCGAGGATTCAGTATGCAGCTATCCCCACTCAACGCGTCTATATGTCTGGCAAACTCAAAAAACAATGCATCTGTGAGGTTTCAGTACGCAGCTATCCTCACTCAACACGTCTAGGTGTCTCACAATCTCCAATACAAATCACCTATATGAGGTTCAATATGTGTCTGTCCTCATTCAACGCGTCAATGTATCCGGCACTCCAACATCACTCAACACGTGGGGTTTCAGTATGCAGCTATCCCCACTCAACCCGTGGGGGTTCAGTATACAGCGTTAATCACTCAAAACGTCTATGTGCCCGGCGATCTCCTACATCACTCAACCTGTGAGATTTCCGTAAGCAATCCTCACTCCACGCATTCATGCGTCACGCGTCTTTCGTAGCGCATAGTATGGGGGCTATATTTGGGGTGACGTGTTTTACAGCGCTTTGCCAACAGCGCCAACCCACCTAAGTCTAGATTGCAGGGGGGTGGGGAGATGCTTGTTTTACAACGTCGTTGCCCATAGTATCGTCAGAGCCGATACATGTTCTCGTACCTTGCATAATATCAGCAGTCGGTAAACCTGTTCGGGTGTCAGTGACTATTGAAACAGTGAAGCGTGCTGGTATCTGATTAGCGAGGAACAACTTGGCTATTAAACCTGGTGGCCAGGTCAGTGCTATGCATACGATGGTAATAGGCGGCACTCCCACATGCATAGTCTAGGGTTGCAGTATCATCTTGCGCCAGAATTAGCAGTTCAGAACGTGGCGGGAGCCTGGAATCTCTCCACCCCGCCTCCAGAAACTCACAGCAGACATGACCGTCCAATGAAAGTGTGGCACCTTGTTCCGTCATAGACTAAACACCTTCTGCGCCAAACGCGAGCACGTCATGTGGGAACTGTTCAGGCGGGACCGCTGCTTCGCACTACGATTAGGTTCAAAGTGATGCTAAACCTTACCGTACGACCCACGAGGAGAACCTAAGTGCAACACACGAGGCTTCGTTATCGAAATTCTGAAGCATATGGATACAATGCACACGCGATCCTCCCCAACCTTGACTTTTCCTACATGGCCACATGGACGGTCTCCCTGCCTCCTTCGTTCGTGTACACCTCCACGTCCTGGTCCTCGATCACGGAAGCGGCTACCCTACGCCAATGTTTTCTCACCAGCTTTTNAGAATTAGCAGTTCAGAACGTGGCGGGAGCCTGGAATCTCTCCACCCCGCCTCCAGAAACTCACAGCAGACATGACCGTCCAATGAAAGTGTGGCACCTTGTTCCGTCATAGACTAAACACCTTCTGCGCCAAACGCGAGCACGTCATGTGGGAACTGTTCAGGCGGGACCGCTGCTTCGCACTACGATTAGGTTCAAAGTGATGCTAAACCTTACCGTACGACCCACGAGGAGAACCTAAGTGCAACACACGAGGCTTCGTTATCGAAATTCTGAAGCATATGGATACAATGCACACGCGATCCTCCCCAACCTTGACTTTTCCTACATGGCCACATGGACGGTCTCCCTGCCTCCTTCGTTCGTGTACACCTCCACGTCCTGGTCCTCGATCACGGAAGCGGCTACCCTACGCCAATGTTTTCTCACCAGCTTTTGTCCACTCTCTGCGAAAGGATTGTGTTTCTGGATCGCCTTCCAGAGTACAACCTTCTCCGCAGGCGTCCAACAGAGACGAGTGGAACCTGGCGAGGTGTAAGAGGAGGACGTGCGTATCGATGAGCGTCAGGACAGGCTCTTGTCTGCACTTTTACAGCGAGAGTGGAGCAGAGCTTCAGTTCGACTTGCTGTGTGCTCATGACAGGCTGTTGTAAATCTCATGAGCCCAGACACACATGACCCAAGTTGAAACGCGAGATGAAGCAACACCCGCCACCCACCCACCATCGCACCCACTACGCTCCTTCACCTCTACATACGCGCTGATCTATCTGTACAGCAGTACTGCCGTCGGTGCCTGCACTCGGCGGCCACGTATACAAGCGGGGGAAAAAAACTGCTCCTTTACGCACGCCCCCCACACCTGACGCACGTCGTGTTGCACCTAGATTCGACACATGGAACCGCACTACTGCTGCTGTGTTGGCGGCTTGGGCGTACTTATGCGAGGCTCATTCGATACTAACCTTCGTCGTTAGGCTTCTGCTTCGCCTTACCCCCGGCACGCTGCCCATTCTGTTGGCTGATGATCCACCCTCCGGCTCGGGCGTACCACCACCGCCTCCAGCTGCGTCGCCAGGAGACGGGCTGAAGTCTGCGATAGAGAAGGGGGTGGTGGCGGTCCCACCTCGACGGGCGAGTGCGTATTCCCCCGCCAACCTAGACCCATGTGGGGGGCTGCCATACCTCTCATCTGGGTCGTGGTGCCTTGGCGTACTGCGCCTGTCTAACTGGAGTCTCGGAGGCGTCGGAGTAGAGTCCATGACGAGAACAACGACTCCAACAAGATGGTGGCCGCAAACAAAACCCTCCTCCAAAAACGCACTGCCTCCTCGAGCCGACGCCGGCGTACGCCCAGCACGCAACGCCCTAGGGCAGCCGCGGGGAGGCGGAGAACGCCTTCACGCCCCGCAGCTATTGCGCGTATCCCCACCTTCGTGTACCCTTGCTTTCAGCTACCCCCAATCCTTGCTCCGTTTTTGGAGGCCCATTTTCACGTATCAAGTCAGATCANACCCTTGCTTTCAGCTACCCCCAATCCTTGCTCCGTTTTTGGAGGCCCATTTTCACGTATCAAGTCAGATCACTTCCTGCGCGCGGCGCGGGCAAAGCCATAGCGTGCCACGTTCAAGCTCTCTCCCGAACAAACCTGCTCCGATACTCTCAGCTGCGAACTCAGACGTATTCGGCCTTCGCGTCGTACAGATTCGAAGCCATTGTGGTCTGCTGTTGAACCTCGGGTGGTTTCGCCACCGTGCCTTCTTCTCCGACCGGAAAAATCTCCTTGGTAATGGAAATATCCGGTCCTTAACTAAAAACGTCCGGTCCCCTTTCTCCGGATGGAAGTGCGGCGTGATCACCTTAACCGGAAAAACACACCGTTGACGGAAAAACGGCCGATTACCGGAAATTTTCACCGCGTAGGGAAACCCGACCTATAGCACTGTAGCGAAATCAAGCCCACCGACCACGGCCGCAACACACTATTTATGGGTCTGGTGCAGGCATTTACCCTGTCTGTATTCATGCGTGTATCGCCATTCAGGCAACAACCCTGGTACGTCGTGCTGTGGCGAAAACAAGCTCACAACAACGGCCGCCACACACTATTTGTGTGTGTGGTGCCGGCATTCGT